GTTTGATTGGGAATTTTTCAACTGAACTAGATATAAGCTTACTTGATCTCATCAGTTGCGTTTATCTCAATCCAAGGGTAATAATCTACATCTGTACTGTTCGAACCCATCATATTCTCTTCACCTAGTAAACTGGATGCAGAGCCATCACTTTGAACAATCCCCTTTCGAAAAATAATTAAAACATATTTTGAAGAGATTTACTGCTTCTTCCAGCCAGGAGTCGTCGTCGTCATCAATGATCTCATCAGCTATTTCTCTCCTCAAGCGAAAGAGAACACTTCTCTTCGGCCGACGATTTTTATGAATTCGTAATCTTTTCCTGTAGCAGGAACATGAGTAAAAACTTAAAAAAGAACACAAACGCCATATCAACATAGTCATAGATATCATCGTCATAATTCATCATTTCTTCATAATCTTTGTTAGGTTTGTCCTGGCTTTCACTAACTCGGTTGTGGTTCTGAAAAATATTTTGACATGATTATGAAATACCTTTCACCGGAAACTTCATAAATATAATCATTAGATTGGTGATTCTCCTCGTGCTTTTCCAAACTGTTCACATCTACTGTTGGCATTTCTGTTGTCGTGGACACTGATGGATTCTCCTTTGTTGTGGACATTGATGGCGTTTCCGTTGTAGTGGACATTGTAGGCGTTTCCGCTGTCGTAGACACTGATGGCTTGTGGTGATCTTTTTTGTGATCCTTGTGGTGATGGTTATGATGGCTATGGTGGTGATGATGGTCCATTTTTTCTTTTTTCACGTTTATAGTATCACTTCCCTTCACCTCAACTTCATTCTGTTCAAGTTGCAGTGTTTTCGTCGTGGACACTCCTGATAGTTCACTGTCTGTTCCAGGACCAGGAATATCTTCCGTTTGAGTATGTATCTTCTCCCCTTGTTCATTTTGCTCAAGCTGCATAGTTTCACCCGTTGATACTCTGGAAGACTTCACGCCTTCCTCCGGTGTAGGGATAATGGCACTAGGAGGATTTCCCCCCTCCCAAACTTCATTTTGGTCTAAATACATAGCTGTGGTCGTCGAAACCTTAGATAATTTTCTGTCTCGTTCTGAGATTAGGAGTTCCGCTTGTGAAGTAGTGAGCGTCGGGCTAGATTGTGAAGTTGATTCGTCAGTAGATTTTTGAACAGTTGTATCTAATTGTGGAAGGCTCTGTCCTTTTGGAGGTTTTCTGAACACAATATTTCATCCTAACGAAACGTAGCTTACTTAGTTGTGGCAGCAATATCTTCTTCAGATTCCGCGATTTCTCTGAAACTCGATCTGTACATTATCTATTAGCAAGCACACTGACGTAGCTGATGTAACTGTTGTGAACTTGTACCCTTTACGAGGCATTGGTGTTGGAAGCTCTCCATCAGTTTGCAAGTTTATCAGCTCGTTCAGAATCATGGCAAGTTTTGCCAATGTCATTGTATCCGGATTCAGAGCTTCCTACGACAATCTAATAAACGTATCGAAACATACATATTCTCAATACCTTGAATGGCTCGCAAATCGGTGAGACTTCAGTAATTCCGAGTTTCTTTGCGTCATCCGTACCTCTGAACCACATTTCTCTTGTATGTTCCTGACAAATCTCTTTGTATACAATACCAACAGCCTGACATAGGAACATAAATAGTTAACTACTTGAGAAGTAATATTCGGAAAGGCATCTTACCTTGAACTCTTTGAGGAGGGAGTCATCAATCCCAAGAGCTTTTAGGCGTTTCTTTGAGTCAATGACTTCTGTCTCAATTCGGTACTTCTCCAAATCTTCTGTTTTCTTTTTCTCGTTTTTTGTCCCGTTTTCCACTTTCTCATCATTCGAGTCTGATATATTCCAGTGTTTTCTCCATGCCTTGCACTCATTGTATTCAGAGACGGTCAAGTTTAGATCTAACGCCTTGTAGTTGGCATCAATCCAGTATATGGAACTTCAAATATAGAATGCATGAGACACAGAGAAAAAGATTGAAAAATAAACCTGTTACCATACTTTTCTTCAGCTGTTCTAGTCAAGTTGAATATATCAGCAGCTGCATTCAATAGTTTCACAGTTTCTGAAAGAACGAATGTTGCTCTGCGCGACAGCTTTTCCTAAATAGTACAACCGCTAGTTTCATCAGCATTGTAAAAATAAAATCTAACAACCCGAATGTTTGAATGAATGATGTTCACGGAAGCTCATATGATACTATGTTCTCACCGTCAACTTCCTGAACTTTAGGTTGTTTAACAGCCTCAGGAGATTTTTCGGTTATTTTTTTGATTTTCGGTGAGAGTGTTGCTGAATCGTCAGCCCTGGAAAGAACATAATCATTGAAATGAAAAGAAAATACTACAACTTGAGTTTTTCATTTTCGATTTCCTCAGATTCTTGAGCATTCCAATCAAGGTTGACTGATTGATCGAAAGCTTTCTGTGAATGGCTGATTCGACGTCGAGAAGAAGATACTTGAATAAGTGTAAGTACGACAACAAATACTATTAAAGAATGTTTATTTCCAAGTATTCCAAACCCTGAGGCCATCAAGTAGATGGCTTGTCAACTTGAAAAAGGAGAGAACGAACTATAACATCATTCAGGATATTAAGAAGACATGAAAAAATATATCAAAGGCAACGACAATCAAAGAAAAAAAGAATTTGATTGATTAATCCAATCTACGAGATCATTTTTCAACAACTAAAAAAACTTTTATTTTGTAAAAATCGATGAAAAATGATAAACGGGTTAGGCAATTAGCCATCGTACGGTAATTTACGAGAATTCATAGAAAATTTGAGACAAAATGTTAAACGTGATGGCGGTTGGGAAGGTGAAAAAGAAGATTCACAAGCCATCGCATGTTCTCTCCGACCTTCTGAGGAACTGGAATAGAGAGTCGTTTTTATTTAGACCTGACTCCTTAAAGAATTTGCGAGTTTTAAATTACAGAAATCACAACGAGAAAGTATAGTTCATGACAATGCCTCTTAACACAATCCCACAACACATATCCTCAATAACCGTCTTGCGTCATGTCTATCTAAAGCTACCATACACTAACCTTAATCTCGATCGTCTTTTCAGCATTCCTTGTCATTTAGGTTTGACTTGACTATCACTGCTAATGTTGGCGGAAAAGCAGAAATAGAAGATTGTTCTGAATTAATGACGAAAGCAAAAAACTACCAGCCCATTGTTACCACTATCATGCAAAAAATGAAAAGTGAATGTAACAACTTCTATAATGGGCCCAAAAAAGGTCATAGTACACAGTCGAAACTACAATTTTCAAGCGCTTTTGAACTTTTATGTAATCATGAGCTCTGATAATTCGATCAATCTCATGCTTATTATTGGTTAGGAAGTGTTCTTGATTCTGTTGTTAACACTTCCAGTCTTAGGACATCAGTGCAGACCGGTTGGCATTAGCTTAATTGGATTATTCAAATGAATTGCATGAAGATTGAGAGGAATATATTCTGGAATAATCTGATAACGAAATGATTCTCAGTCTGTTTTATCCTCTGAGTTTCATACTGTTCCTCATAATGTATTATTTCGTTTTTACCGAAGGTCAGCAAGACAGTTGTCTGAGTAGGCAATAAGCTTGA